AGTGTCCAGGGACAGGGTGCCAAAGAACAGACCACACACACACAGAAAAAATGCAGTGTAAATTCGGATAATTGCCCTGGGAAGGAGAAAGGGAAAAGGTGTGGCATGTTTGAGGATGACGAAGGAGGCCAGGAGCTGGGTGTATTGAAGAGAAGGAAAGTGGTTGGAGATTCAGGGGGGAAAAAGACAGGGTTTTGCAGTTCACATAGGAGTTGGTAAACAGTGGCAGGCCAAAAGGTAGTATTTCATCTGAGTATGGTGGGAAGGCATTGGAGATTTTTTAAGAAGACATGGTTTTCAGAATGCCCACTGGTCTTTTCTTTCACATTCGAAACACAGCTCTCTAAAAGCCAACTTAAAAAAAAAATAGAACATAGACTAGAAACCCAGTTTTCCCCTGCAATGATCAGTTAGTTAATTGGAAAATCCAATTAAAATGGGGACTCCTGGTCTGTGGGTGAGATAGGTCTATGCCGCCCCCATTTCATTTTAATTCTACGCCTGTACACGCGTCGGTCGGCATGGTTTCAGCGCAGGGTCAAAGGCCGGGCGGCGATGCTGCGTGGAGCCCTCCCTTTGAATTGCTCACGAAGCCGTAAACCCAGGGCTGGCTCTACGACTGCCGCTGGGCTTTCTTGGAAGTGGGGCCTCCGCCGGCTACGGGATTGAGCTCTGTGATTCCCACAACACACAACGGGCATAAGCAGGTCAGGGCAAGCACGGGGCTCTGGGTACACACGGAACGCCCTGGGGCGAGTCGGTGCTTCGGGCCAGGAGAGCCCAGCCCCTCTGAGCAGCAGCTGCTGAGCTTTGTGCCAGGACTGAAAGGCGCGGTGGGTCCAGCGAGTCCACCGGGAGCGTCCACGGTGCAGCCGGACGTCAGCCACCGGCTGTGCTGGGCCGCAGGGAGCTATGGGAGTGCTGTGCGTGTGTCCCTTGGCCCCGGGGGAGGCACTGTGTTATTTTAAGTGAATTGGGTGTTCATTTAAAAAAAATTCTTTTTTTTGTTAATGCTTACCCAAGGATACTTTTTCCACTGATTTTTAGAGAGTGGAAGGGAGGGGGAGAGACACAGAGAGAGAAACATCGATGTGAGAGAGACACACAGATTGGTTGCCTCCCGCACGTGCCCTGACCAGGGTCTCAGACCGAACCTCCAAGATACATGCCCTTGAGCGGACTCAAACCCAGGACCCTTCGGTCTGAGGGCCGATGCTCTATCCACTGAGCCAAACTGGCTGGGGCTGGGAGCTCACTGTTTAAAGAACTGGGTGATGAATCCTTTTGTGGAACAGAAGCCGTTGTCCATTCTTCCGTGGGCAGAATGTGAACTTGTGTGAGTTACATGCGTCCAGAGAGGCACACTCGCAGCCTCTGTGTGCAAGGGATCTGGCAAAGCCTCAGCCCTCGAAATACCAGCGTGGGAAGCGGCGGGTTTTCGTTCCTCCTGCTCCCCAGTTCCCTCCGGGGGAAGCCATCCAGCGATGCCAGCGAGAGATAAGGGGGAACATAGTTTATGGGGATGAGGTCAACGAACTTCCTCCCACGGACAGAACAACAGGGAAAGAAATCTCCGAGCAACAGGCTCTCCAGTCAGTCCAACCAGATGGGCCGAGCGCGGGGCCTCCGCAGCATGAACCTCTTGAACCCATCATCCTTACAGGAGCCACCTCCCTGATGCAAGGAAGATCCCTCCCACTCCCTCTCCTCACCCCCCGGGGCCGGCTCAGCCCCCGTCCCAGCTCAGGTCCTTGTCGGCCAAGGTCAGGGGCCTTCCTCCCGTGACGCCGTCTCATCACTGTGCTGCCTAGTGAGCCCCATGTCCGTGAAGGAGGGTCCCACGTGTGGGAAGGGAAGGGACTGGAGCTGCTGACGGACTGTGTCGGCTCTGAAGTGTGGCCGTGGCCCTGGACTTGCTGGAGTGGGGGCTGGGCCTCCCCGCAAGCCCCCGCCAGCGCGATCTAGGGTGGTGGGATGGCCGAGAGGTGAGGTGGGGGCGTCACGTGAAAAGCCAGCCCCTCTCTCTCTCTGCTGGACAGCTCAGCGGCCCTGGGACCTGCCGCGTCGGACCTTCACGCTGCCACCGCCCAGGGCCAGTCCTCACGGAAAGGCAGCTTGCAATGGCCACTTAGAAACGGCCGGCGTCCCCTCCCCTTTAGACGTGGCTCTCGGCGCCTCTGGCCTCGGTTCTCATACCTTCCACAGAGCCAGGGCCTGAAGAACTGCAGGCCTGGAGCCAGCAAGTAGCTCTGTGGTTCTGACGCTTTGGGTTGCCCTGGACCGGGAAAATCCCAGCCTCACTCAGTAGCGTGATGCACTTCTCGGTACAATTCACGAGGCCCAGAGGTCGGGGACGTGGTTCCCCGTCATCGCAGCTGCCACGCCCCCACCCAGTCTCACCCCCTGTCCCCTCCTCCACAGAAAGCACACTCCATGCCATCACACGCGCTGAGTCTTGGCCCCAAACACCCCTCCCCCTCCCCCTCGGGCTCACCCAGTCCTCTCCCAAGGCCCATGTCAATGTGGTTTCCTCTCTGACGTGGCACAAGCTGCCCTCCATGTCCTCACCCAGAACAAGCTGCACCACTTTCTCCTCCACCGTCAGCACTTTGTAAACATTTCTATCCTTCGACATCTGTCTGTCTGTCTGTCTATCATTAGTTCAAGCTTTTTATTTTTGTGTTGACATCTTTGCATTTCCTGTTGGACCGCGAGCCCCATGCCAGCATGGCCGATTTCTCCCTCTCTTACCCCAGCACCCATTTGGGGTGCGGCCCAGAAAGCAGTCAGCAAGGGTGGCTGGTGGACCGGCTCGTCCTGACCTCCTGTTTACCACCATCCTCTGAACTATATTCACATCCAGAAACTGAGCACACAGCCGTCCCTCAGGCTGCATGGCTGTGTGTTTCCCACAGTCCAGGTGCCCAACCCAATGACACGGGTCCTTTAGAGGAGAAGGGGGGGCAGAGGGAAAAGCCGGACAGAGGGGCGTGCGGAGGACGTGACTCACTGTTGGTGGCTTTGAGGACAGAGGAAGGGGACCGTGCATGGTGGGCGCTGGGCACTAAGAATGGCCTTCAGGTCGTAGCCAATGGCTGTGCCACAGATCTGTCCCACGGGGGCCATGGACAGAAGGTCCATCAGCTGTACTCAGCACCGCGTAGGCAGCCTCAACATAACAAGAGCACCGTCTTCATGGGGGAGGGATTCTGGTTGGGGCTCCTTGGATTTCTCCAGCAGTGCACTGTTCCTTTAACTCCTGCTTCTCCGCCTCCCCGTGCTCCCTCAGCCTGGAAGTGCTGGCCGACGCCCAGTATGCCTTCGGGCTGCCCTTCCACCCTGCCTACGGGGGGCAGTTCACTCCGGAGGAGAAGCACACAGCGCTGAAAGTCATGCAGTACTTCTCCAACTTCATCCGATCCGGGTGAGTGGGCCGGGGGCCGTCGCTGCGCACCCCGCCCCTCCAAACCCAGGGGCCGCGTGATGGACCTGCAGGTGGCAGACCAGTGTGCTGGCTCTAAACCCCCTCCCCCCAGACCCTGCACCCACAAAGGCATCCCAGAGACTAGCGAGGGGGTCCCGATAAGAGGACACCAGCACAGAGAGGGGCACGCGGCCTCCTGAGCGTCCAGACCCCCAGAAGGGCTGTGCTGGTGTTGCTGGGTCCTGAGCTCACATCTCCCTCCCCTACAAATGGCCTGGGTGGAGTCGGGGCCTTCCCACCTGTAAGCATTTGGGGTGCAGCCGTTAAGGCCACTCGGACGCCTAAGGATGAGTGAGTGGGTGGGTCCTCAGAGACCAGGTGCGATCGAAAGTGATCCAAGGGATGAAAGGAAAGACGAGTCTCCCTCATGCGTGTGTCCTGCTTCTCCTTCCCCAGGAATCCCAACTACCCGCACGAGTTCTCACGGAAAGGGCCTGAATTCGCAGTCCCCTGGCCCGACTTCGTCCCTGGCACCAACGGGGAGAACTACAAGGAGTTCAGCGCCCAGCTCCCCAATCGACGGGGCCTGAAAAAGGCCGACTGCTCCTTCTGGTCCAAGTACATCCGGTCCCTGAAGGTGCCTGCAGGTAGGAAGCGTGGAGCTGGAGGGCCAGGGTGAGGGCGGGCAAGGGTGGATACACAGCACCTACTGTGCGCACATTGTGCATTAGGCCTATTTGAGCCTCTGGGAGCCAATGGGCACTGGGAGGCCATCAACACCTCTCTCTCCTCTAAGAGCTCACAGGTTGGGGAGGAGGGTTCCTCTCTGCCAAGGGCCTCCTGTTCCGTGGGGACAGGAGAGGGAAGTGAGAGAGAGAACACTGGCGGGGGGGGGGGGGGGGGCCCCTTGGGAAGGCTTTGGGACAGTTGAATGGGGAGAGGAGGTAGGATCTGGACCCTCAGCCTCGCTGCCCTTGGAAGACTGGTCAAACGTCTTGGAGAGTGAGTTCTGGCCAGGGGAGAGGCGGGCATTCTTCCTCTTTCTGTTGCAATGGACTTCCTGTTGAAGAGAACTTCCTGTAGAAGAGAACTTCCTGTTGAAGAGATGTTACAGAGACGATAAAAGGATCTGTCATAAGGGCGCTAGGAATATTGAGATAAATCCGATGCCCTAAAAAGCTTCTGGGAGTGACGTGACCCAGGGGAAGTCCTTCAGTTTCCTGGTGCATGCTGGGAGCTGCAGGAAGCCAGGGGGCCTCCCAGGGGCAGGTGGTGCTGGGCTGAGCTTTGCAGAATGACGGGAGGTCTTCACAGGGAGTCCAATGAGAGTGGAGCGTTCAGCAGGGAAGTGACCTCGTCCGACATGTTCTAGACTCTCAATCCCACTTTTACATTCTAAGACCCAGAGGCTCTCTGGTGATGACCCCGAGTCCTGTCCTGCCCTTCGCAGGTCCCTCCTGCCAGCAGATCTGAAAGTGCCCCCTGCAGGGAACTCCTGGGGAAGGAATGTCCCTCAGAGCCGGGGTCTCTTCTGGTCAAAAAGAGTGAGGGAGGGAGAAGTCGGGTCAGGATCGAACCAGCCTTGCCCTCATGTTTCAGATGAAGCCAAGGATGGGCTGTCAGCAGGGAGTGAAGAGGAGGAGCAGCCGGCTGGCTCTGGCCTGAGAGAAGACCTCCCAGATCCAGGCTCCAAGAGCTACAGCAAGTGACCAATCCCGAGACTTCCACCCACCCTGCCACCCCCCCTCACCCTTCCCCTCCCCCCACCCTCAGGCTGACACCTGGGCCCCTTGTTCTCTGGAATCGCCCCTGGCTTTCAATAAAGTGTCAACATGCAGTGAAACAGCGGTGACTCTGATGTGTTCCTTCAGGACTGCCCTTGGGAGATGCCGAGCTGTGGATTCATCTTCTCACCTTCCGCGTCTGACTGAGTTCTGAATCCCAGGCTGCTGTTTCCTCCCGTCAAATGGTTGTGCAGCATCCTCTGTGCGCCAGGCTCTGTGCTGGGGGCTGGGGAGGCGAGAGCCCTGCTCTCTCACGGGAGAGGGGGGCAGGTGAACAGAAGTGACACAGGATCTGGGGACCCATGGAGGGCAGGCCCCAGAGTCCTACCTACGTGTTAGAAAGGATTCTCTCGTGAAGGTGCTAGGAAGGAGGTAGGAGGCCAGCGAGGCTGGTAGGAGGCTCAGAGCCGGAAGGAACGCCAGCCGGCCAGGTGCAGGGTCTGGGGTCAAAGGCAGATGCGCCCTCCACCGACTCACAGCCAAGCCCCTCCCACCGGGACCTCCCGTGTCCCTACGACACTCGTGCAGGTGGTTTTCTTCCCTGTCCCACAGGTAAACACTCAGGGCTTCATCAAGGCCCGAGGGCCTGGCAAAGGCCACGGTCAGGAGCACAGGGAGCAATGGCGCCTGAGACCACGCTGGCAGGTCTGGCCGGGTTGTCCTTCTCTAGGCCATGTGGATGCGGACGCGTGAACTGGTGTCTGCGGTCACTCCGATGCCCCCTGGGCTCCTGCTCTTCTGTCTGCTGAGGGCGGGAGGTGGCTTCTCCTTAGACGGCCTGTTTGCTCCTTTTCCACCTGGAACATCCCTCCCAGCTCTTCCATGGCAGCTCCACCCTCTCAGTCAGACCGACAGGTGGCATCTACTCATGGGGGGTCGGGAGCCTACTTTCTCTTCTGGCTCCTGAAACCTGTGCCGCCCGGATGCCGGGGGTGGGGGCGGGGCACAGGGGGTTGCTCGGGTCATTCAGTCAGGCAGCTGCTGAGTCAGAAGTCCTGCTCCCGTCCCATCTCACATGAAAAAGCATATATTTTGCTTTCTTTAAGGTGGGGAGACTCACTAGGGTGAGATAGAAATATATACATTTCCTGAAGTTATAAGCACAGAGTCCAAAGGAAAAAGAGGGAGAGGAAAGAGAGAGGAGAAGAATGGAAGGAGGAAAGAAGGGAGGGAGAGAGGGAGGGAGGGAGAAGAGCAGGAAAGAGGGTGAGGGAGAGAGAGAGAGAGAAGGAGGAGGAGAAGGCCACTCTAAATGCTAGATGAAGCAGGAAGCCCCACTATAATATTATAATCTGAAATAGATCACAGTTTTAAGCAACCAATGAGCTGTAATGAGAGAGACTCTGATCTGAAGACCCGGGGTTGTCTCATGGACCAGGAGCGTACGGGGCGGAATCCCAGTGCCTGCTCGGCCTGGGAGCAACGTGCACAAGGTCTGATGCGGGGAACGAGTTAACTGGTGTGCAGGGGTTGGGGTCACCCCACGGAGCGCCCACGGAAGGCATAGGCGAGGTTGCAGCACCAAGGAGATCTGAGAGCATGGACGACCGAAGAAAAGAAGGGAAGAAGAGGGTGTAAGGGTGTGCACACACACTCGCTGTTTAAGCAGCAAGCTTAGGGGGAGGATGGGATAAGAAAAATACCGTCTTTAGGACGTTGACAGTAACCCACAGAAGAAACAAGAACGATGCCCTTGCCCAGCCTTGGGGTGTGCGGAGAGGCTGTGGGACCGGGTGAACAGGAAATCAAGGTGTAGAGTTGCTCAGTCACACAGAGGCAAGACTCAGACACGCAGGCACGGGCCGCCAAGTGAAGAAGCAGACGGTTGGAGGAAGTGGCTTCTGCAGAAGGGGTGATGGCAGGCAGGGAGCCCCAGGGGGCCCCAGGGGGCCATTCCTTAAGGACAGGTCTTGTTCCTTTGAAAATATAGATTTGGGCGCCCTACCTTAGACCATTTGTTCTCAAAATCTGAGGAACGGAAACCTGTGTTTCCCACAAGCTTCTCCGGTGACTTTCACGCATGCAGACCTGCCTGGGGACCGCTGCCTGATGGCCTGGGGGGGTCGGGGGGCGCTGCCCTCTTAACGCAGGACCAGTGGGGACCGAGGCGCCCCTGAGCCCCGGACACGCTGCTGTGTGTTCGGGGACCCGGCAGGAGCAGGACCTTGCAGCTCGCGCTACTGCCGCCTCCTCCTGCCCCCAGTGGCTTCCAGCTCAGGAGGAAGTGACTCAGACCAGTGGCAGCTCAGCGTGAAGATCTTCACTCAACACCTCGGTCTCTGCCCCACTGATGCCGAGGCCACGCTGACCATGTGCTGCCCTTTCACCTCCTGACTTTTCGGCGACCCTTGCCCTGCTGCTGGGTGAACTCGGCCTTCCTGCCCGTGGCGGAGGGGGCGGAGGGGGCGGAGGGGGCGGAGGGGTCGGAGGGGAGGGGAGTGTATGAGTCTTCCCGGCTGTCCCCACACACATTGAGTCAGCCCGTCCCATCTGGACAGGGATAGGCCTTCAGGGCATCTCAGGATGCAGGAGGGAACACCAGCGAGGGGACGTGCACTTCTCTGTGTTCTCAGCCTCGTCATGGCGATGCGGGGCCAGCGTCCTCCAGCTCAAACGTCCTGGGTGTTGTCTCTTGGGCCATACTTTCCTGAGAGCTGGTCCAGGGCAGAGACCACGTGGCCTGGCCTTCGATCCCTCCTATTTCCCGTTCCCACCTTCTCACGGACGGGCATGTGCTCCTGACCGTGGCCTTCACCCTCGGGCCTTGCTGAAGCCCCGCGTGTTTACCTGTGGGACAGGGAAGAAAGCCAACTGCACGAGTGTCGTAGGGACACGGGAGGGCCCGGGCTCGAGGGCACTGCGGCTCCGGGAGCCCCGGTGGGAGGAGCTTGGCTGTGAGTCGGTGGAGGGCGCATCTGCCTTTGACCCCGGACTCTGCACCTGGCCGGCTGGCGTTCCTTCCGGATCTGAGCCCCCTACGCTGCCGAGGGCTGTGAGGAGTAAATGTACGAATATGCTTCCCTCCTCCACGAGAGCATCGGGGACACAGCCCCCTCCAGAGGCAAGTGTCGTCGCTGAGAACGCTATTCCCTCCCTGTAACTGGAGGGACCGTCCCTGAGGACGGGCGCGTTTCTATTTGGATTTGTCTGCGCTTTTGCACGGCCCTGCTCACTGCTCACCAGCCTGTCAGCACCTCCCTTGTTCCCGGTTCTCCGTCAGGCTGTGGTCTGAAGCCCGCAGCTCATCACTTTGAGGGAAGGTCTGTGAGGTCACCGGGTCATCGAAAAGAGGAAGGAGACACCTGGGCAGCCAGCGACATGTAAATTCCCCCGGAGGAGACTCGGGGCCGGCCCACTCGTCACCACGGTCTCCCCTGGGTTCGGCAGAGAACTCGGGCAACCAGACCAGGGACCGCAGGCCACTCAGCTACCCCCTCCAGCTGCCTCAGGAAACCCCAAGTCCCTCCGGAAGGTCACAGAGGCAGACAGCCTCCCCTTCTGGAGGAAGAGGGAAGCGACCCTTGAAGGGGAGGGTCCAGGACGTGGTCCCAGAAGGTGTGGTGTTGCCCTCCATGGACTGGGGGTGTCCTGAGTGACCCAGACCAGAGAGGAAAGAAGGGGCGAATCTTGACTGAGGGGTGTAAGTTGGGTGACCTTGGGCATATTATGCAGCCTCAGTTTGCTCATCTGCACAATGGGATGCCCTTGGACATGAGAGAAAATGCATGAAGTGCCCCTGACACATGGTAGGTTCCATAGTCGGTGTCTCCTCCTCCCCTCTCTCCTGACAGTGCCAAGTACTTGGCGAGCCCCCAGCACACGGCGAGTGCTCAGCGAATCCTTTTTGAAAGAAAGGACAGCTCTGTTCTCCCAGCTCAGTCTCCCTGAGCTGGAGTTCCCCCAGTGGGACAGAACCCACTGCAGAGAGTGCGGGACTGAACAGTGACCCTGCAAAGGTGTCCCGGCCCTGATACCCGGACCCCAGGAAGAGGATGTTTCCTGACCAGGTGGACTTTGCAGGTGCGATTAAGGCCAGAGAGCTTAATCCAGGAAGGCTTCTGGGTCCTTGAGTTGGAGCCCACGGTGATCACATGGTCCCTGAAAGCAGGGCACTTCCTCCGGCTGGAGGCAGGAGGGGAAGGCGTGGAGATTCAAGGGTGAGAAGACTCCGTGTGCTATTGCTGCCTCCGAGATGTGAGGACAAGGACAGAGGCCGCTAGGACCTGCAGTTGGCCCCCCACCAGCAACCAGCCAGGAAATGGGCACCTCAGTCCTACAACCACAAGGAACTAGGTTCCGCCTTCAGCCTGAAGGAGCTTGGAAGTGAATTCTTTCTTAGAGCCGCAGTAAGAAAGGCAGCCGTGATGGCACCTTGATTTCAGCCTGATGTGACAACCCGTGTCAGACTTCTGATGTACAGGAACTCTGAAAGAATACATTGATGTTAGTATAAGCCCATTTGTTTTGCCAGCACTAGAAAGCCAATTCACAGAGCCTCCGGGTTGTGGAGATGTCAGAACCACCCAGCTCTTGGCTAATATACGCATTCACCAAGTGCATCGGAAGTGTAACCCTCACCACCATTTGGGGGTGTCCGCTGAGAGCCAGGCACCCTGCCAGTGGCTCCCACCTACCTCGCCTCCTTAAACGTCACGCCGCCCTTTAAGATCTCCTACTGTGCGGCCATCAAGGCCCAGGTGCCGGGCAGGGTAAATGAAGACCAAGACCTTTTAACTGGGAGACTCCTGGGGGAATTTCATTGGGAACCTCATGCAATAAGAATTCAGTAATGTTCCCAACAAAAGTCAGGATTGCCCCCTCCCCAATTCCAGGAGCCCCATGTTGCACAGATGTTCCAAGATCCTTCCCACCGATGCCATCCCCTCACCCCTGGTTGATGCCTCATATCCACAGATGGGGTGCAGGGGCGGGCAGGTGGGGACAGGGAGCA